TAAAGTATGGCCATGGGAGTAAATTGCAGAAGTGGAAGGGAGGTAAAGTTCACTAGAGTCGAGGGAGGTCAAGGAGCCCTGAGGAAAGAGTGTTAAGGGGGTGCCCATTTAGTGTCCATTCATATCTTATGTTTCACACAGTGATGGTAGTGTAGAGTATTGGAGGGAAAACTTGGAGCTAAAGTTCTCAGTGGATACAGGGACATGGCCAAGAAAACAAAGTTTCAATAACCTCAAAAGGAGAGGATTTTGTAGTCAAGTGCAGAAGTAATGATTTCAAATAAAGAATTTGGGGTAAACTGGGAGAAAGTCTACCCTCCCTGTTCCCCTAGGCCAACAGGCTTGGGATGAGGAAGAATGAGCATACTCTACCAGGTTATCTGAGGAAGTTGTTATCCTCATTAGATAGTGAGATTTACAGTATTTCTCAACACCAGCTATGCAATTGAAATACCTGAGGAACCTTAAAAAATAAAGATGACTGGGCCTATCCCAGATTGACAGGAGTGGGGTTATGGCCTCTCCCTAAAAATAATTTCTCACATGATAGTTAAGAAACGAAGAGAACATTTACTAAAGAGGTTGAAGATGTAGGGGAATTTGTTCTTAATGGGACAAGCTCTAGCCACTAGAGGGCAGGCAGAATATTAGAGTGGATATAGAGGAGATGATAGATGACTTTTCTTTCTTTACAAGGTAATGTAATAGAGAAAGCTGTCAGAATAAGAGATTCTGGAGAGATTAGAGTTACAACCAGAACTCATGCACAACCAGAGGATCCCAAGGCCAAATCTCATTTGCAATTTGTGGTTCAGCCAGCAATCCGTGGCTTTGTTCTGGGTTCCAATAGGATATTAGAGGTACACTTAGAAAGTGATACCCATTTGGGCTTCCATTCTTTGTGAATACTAACCTAGAGCTAATCAGGCTGGGTTTTAGCTTAAGACTCAGGGTAGGCTGAATTTTAATATAAATGCCCAGTACTCAGAATTCTCTGAGGGAGATAAAGACAATTTAGTGTTCCTAAAAAATAAAATAAAGCAAAAATCCATTCTCATCTAGACACCAGTCATTGAAATTTACTGAAGGATAAGGTCCAAATATGTTTAATTTAAAATATTCATAATAAGTAGTATAACTATTAAGAACTTAGATTCTGGAGACATAGTGGGGACATAGGTTTAAACATTGGCTCTGATATTTGCCAGCTGTATAACCTGGGTATATGGCTTAACCTCTCTTAAGTCTTACTTTTCTTATCCATAAATCAATAGTAATACAACCATAATACACGTATTCATAATATTGTTGTGGAGATCAATTGAGATAACCATAGATGTACTTTGCTCATGGTGAATGTTTCATAAAGGATAGTTCTTAAGTGAACAGACCCAAGGCAGGTGATGGAAAATGTGAGAATGATACTTGTTTTCCTGCAAATTTTAGCTAAAGAGATAGGCATGTTATGTGACAAGTCAAAATATACATTGGGTGGTTCTATGGGAACAGAAAAGAACAGTCATTTAACTTTGTCTGCAAAGGGAACACACTAAGGGAGTGGAAACCTTCAAGAACAAGGACTTCCCAGGGTTGTCAGTCAGTGGTAAAGCACTTGCCTAACATGTCCAAGGCTCTGGGTTCCATCCCTAGAACTAGAAAAATAAAAGGACGAAGGGAATCATCCACACAAATCTGGGAGAAGTATGTAAGAAACATGGCTTTCCAGGTCTGAGTCTAGCATGTATCAAAGCTTGGAGGCAAGAGAAAACCTGGTCATTTAAGGAACATTGGATAAGTATGGATAGTGGGTTCCAAATCAGAGGCTGGAGAGATAAGTTAGGAATAGATTTTACAGGCCCTTGGATATCATTCTAAAGAGCATGAACTTTTAACATATTGATAGGGCAATGGTGGTGCATTTAAGGATCTTAAAAGGTGAGAATGTGATATCTGTTCAAAGAGTAATGAATTGGAGGGGAGAAAATTGGAGGCAGTGAAAGGAATAGTAATGCCTTGCTTTGGACTAAGTGGTTAGTGGAGAAGAAAGAATGAAGTTTAGGAGATAGAATGAAAAGAAACTTGGTGACTAATTAATGTAGAAATAAAGTAGGAGTAAAAAATGACTCACAAATTTTTGGTTTTGGCTGCTGGACCACTGCTGAATTATCCAGTGGATGGAGTAAAATTTATGCGATCCAGGAAATCAGGGGTGCCCAAAATATGAAAACTTTATGATTTTGGATATATAGCTTTTTTAATATTATTTTTTATTTGTAGGTGGACACATACCTTAATTTTATTTATTTTTTATGTGGTGTTGGTGATCGAACCCAGAGCCTCAAACATGCTAGGCAAGTGCTATTCCACCAAGCTACAATCCCAGCCCTGTATATATAGCTTTTAAAAGGACTTATTATCCATTATAGTAACATCAAAATATTTTGAACTTCCTTAACTTTTTATACTTTAATAAATAATATTAATTATTTTTTATTAAACTTACATGTTGGAGAAGGGAATCACAATCTCTTCCTTGCTTAGAGTCCCTAAAAGAGGACCGGTCTGTCTTTACTCCTCTGATTTGGATGATTGGTGGTTCCTTTCATGGAGATAGGGAACAATAGAGAAACCAGTTTGGCTTCCTGCCTCTGTTGTGCTTGGCCCTGAAGCAAGGAATGGAATGATTGGTCTGGTAAGAGCCTGGCAATCAGATGACCTTCTAGGGAAACACCATAAAGCCAATTCTGGGTATAACTCAGCCCAAGGGGAGTGAGTCAAATGCACGCCAATACTAGTAGAGAAGTTAGGAGAGTTTATTTGCTGGAAATAGAGAACATGAATGCAAGTTGATATAAGGATTAAGATCAAAGTATAAGCTCTTAAACTGGAGTCCAGGAGAATTATGAACCTCTGAAGGTATATGCAAATATGTATACCACATTTTTGGATAAATTCCACAACTTTCTTCAGATATTTCATAGTAGATTGACTCCAAAAATGTTACGAAGAGCTAGTTACTATGAAATGAACAAAGCTTCTTCATCAGAATTCCTCACTTGCTTGGGACTTTCAAAACCCTAGCAATTTTATATTTATTTTTATTGTTATTTCTTAAAATGAGCCTGCCTCTCAAAAGTGTTTCATCCCATAATATCTGAATCCACCCCCTGTCAACCACAGATTAAGGAATTCCCTAGCTTGAGTTAGTATCTGGATTCAATCCTGGAGGAATGAGTATAGAGAAAGGATTACAGAAGGACAAAGCCAGCATGAGGAAAGGCAGAAGAGACAGAAATAATGACAAAGAAAAATGATCACTGAGGGAGGAGGAAAGTAAGACCACATTGTCAAGGAAGTGGAAAGAGAGGTTAGCCTTGGAAGACAACAATCATGATTGTTTGATCTGGCTTTCTGAACAAATGAACAATGGTTGAACAAGTATAAATGGTAACTGTAGTATACAAACATGCAGAGGCATTAGGAATAAAAACGGAAGCTTTTACATCCACTGTTATTATGATATTCATCAATAAAGTAGACTTAGTATAAAAACAGAATCTATTCTAAGTTTAGGTTAGATGGAATATATACTTTAAAAAAAATGAGTCCTATATCTATTTCATGCCAGGCAAGGGTTCTGAATGGCTCTTGTCCCTCTGCCTCCAAAATTTTTTCTTTTTTTCCCCCTGATTCCACATAGTCCTCCTGACTACTTGAATTTTCATATTACTGACCCATATCTCTGTTGTCTGGCTGAACATAGAGAGCAGTGAAAGAGAATGGAAAGAGAAAAGAAGCCATAAGCCTGATATTGATATGAAAGGTTTTCAATTTAAAATTTATCACATGTAACCTACAAAACCAGTAAGTAACCTGAAGTAATTTGTATATGGTTAATTGCATATTTCCTGTAACTTGGGCGAAGGGATCATCTAGTTTCAACTAGGTAAACCAGGTTCACGTTGACTTGCCCAGTATTAGGAAGGTGAGTATTATTTTTTTTTTCAGTGTGAAATGCACTCTTGTGAGAGATATATGCTCAAATCTGCTGATATGTCTTTTACTGATGCTTCTAGAGACCATTTTAAAATGTTTCCATGGTACTTTCCTTCTGGGAATCATTTCCAGATATATTACTTTCCTTATAGTTCCTAACTTAATTTCTTCAGTAATTTTATCTTTAAAGGCATTTGACTTATTAAATACCAATACAATTTATTCATAATTATGTCACCATGAAAAATCTGCTACTTGAGAAAGGCAATGATTTCAAATGGCTAACATGACAGAATATAATGGGGATATAAAAATTGTTATGGATTAGAAAAACTAAACCAAAGACCTAATTTGAGGTTTCAAAAGCTAATAAAATTTATTCAGTAACAAGTAACATTTTTTAATTGTTACTGGGATTGTGTTGTGTGGGAAATGATTAAAATGGTTTTAAAGATAGAAAAAGATTTATAACATCATTACTTGTAATAATATCTTTGTTCCAAGAAGATTACAATACACTTCATAATGTAAATATGTAAATTGAGAAACTTCCAGCCACTTGGTATTTAGCTAATGTTAACATGGAAAGAATCCATATTAGTTCTATAGATAGCTGAAGTACTTTTCTATTCTTTCTAATACTAAGCCTTAGCTTGACTTGAATGTAATGAGTTTCTTATCACTTGACCCGATAAAACCAGTTAAACACAATACACTCACACCTGTCAGTTTACTTCATTAGATTGGTAAATTAAATAAATCAACTCTAATGGAGGTTTTGTTTGAATTGTATTTTATAAATTTTTAAATGATTTCAACATAACATTTTCATCTAAATCTCAGCCACTTCTACAAATAATTGGAATTTCTGGAATTAAGTATTATTAAAATTGTAGTGGAATCAATTGTCTTTMAACTTTAGAATTGTTTTGATGAACCTAGTTGTACACTTTGGAAGCCAAAACTATACCCCAAATAAATGCATGTTAACATTTTGCCTTTAGCCAATAAGAAGAAAGAGAAAGAGCGCCCAGAGATCTCTCTTCCTTCAGACTTTGAGCATACGATTCATGTGGGGTTTGATGCAGTCACCGGGGAATTCACTGTAAGTAAGCTCCTTATTTTGTTTTGTAAGCCATGAAAAAAAAATTCCTTTATAAAACTAGTGTCAATCAAGATTTGCCATGTCCCCAAATGTCAGACTCAATGTTTTTGATGATTCCAAGAAAAATGGACTTTTCATACACAATTATAGATGCAATAGAAGTTGGCAACAATATTGACAAAATTATTTAGTCCCATCTTAACAGAAATGTCTTATCCCTGTATAGTCTTCAAGTTGGTTGAAAATATTAATTTACCATAGCACAGAAAATGTAGTCTTGGTAAGGAGACCCTGCCTGAACCTGTTCTTTATTATGTGAAGTGAATCAGAGAATCATCTACTCAATTTGGCCAGTGATGACAGTTGATCTGAATAATTCAGGCTTTACATTAGGACCTGAATTACACAGATGAGCTAACTGCACTAACCAAAAAGCTCTATAAAATTAACTTAATCTTCTATTTGATTTCAAGTACATGGATTATTTTTAACATTTTGTTTTGTTTCTTGTGTTTTTTTTTTCCTACTGGGGATTGAAACCAATGGTGCTTTACCACTAACTACATCTATAGACCGCTTTTTTATATTATCATTATTATTTTGAGACAGGGTCTTGTCAAGTTTATGAGAGTCTCAATAAGTTGCTAAGGTTAGCCTTGAATTTGTGATAATCCTGCCTCAACCTCCTGAGTTGCTAGGATTATAGGCATGTACTATCATGCCCAAAATTAGATTATTAATAGGTATATTTTGTAGACATTCAAAACAACAAACTCCATGTTTCAAGGAGAAATACTGATACATCATGTACGTTTTAGTAGTTATATGTTTACTTCACACACACACACACACACACACACTTACTATGTATAGCAAATACCAATCAGAATTCTGTGGATACAACATAGCTATATATCAATCCATTCTTTGGATATGTAGTGCTCATAGAGCACAAGATCTCAGATGTATGCCATTTTATATTTTCTTTTTAAGAAAAAGATTTGGCACCTCTTTTAGAAAGGTGAGGGAAAAGATATTGCTAAAAATATATCCCTAGGAAGATCAACTACTTTTTTTTTCTCTGCTAGTAAGGAACTCAATCAAATGTGCTTTCTGAAACAATGAGTAATTTTGAATACATTTTGGGGGAAAATCTTTAATAGAACCATTACCATCAAATCTTGGCTTGTTAAACCAGAAAGAAATGTCAATATTAAACAGTAAAATTTCATTTCTCATACCATGATGGCTAGTGAATAGACTATATCATATGATTAAGCAATAAGAAAAAGAAGGAGCAAGTCAATTTGATTTGGAGAAGCAAATAATGTTATTGAATTGACAACCACATTATCTTATTTGTTCAATTCTGGAAGTAAGCTATAAGAATGAAATGCAAACAGTAAACATCTTGGCCTCATAAAGTGGTGTGGACTAATTATTCCTGTGTTCTCAGTAGTATGCAGAAGAGAGTGTTAGGAAATAATGCCACTGTAAAATTGAGATAGGTAGGATTTAATGAATTTCATCATCAAAGTCAGAGACATTGGGCTGGGGTTGTGGCTCAGTGGTAGAGCACTTACATAGCATGTGTGAGGCACTGGGATCGACTCTCAGCACCACATAAAAATAAATTAATAAAATAAAGGTCCATCAATAATTAAAAAAAAGTCAGAGACATTACTCAAATGGTCTTGAGTTTGAGCCCAACCTTTATTATATTGTTAGAATATTCTCTTAGAGTGAGATGTGGTGGCACATACATACCTGCAATTCCAGCAACTCAGGAACCTGAGGCAGGAGGATGATAAGATCAAGGCCAACCTTGGCAATTTAGTGAGACCTTCTCTGAAAATAAGATGTAAAAAGGACTGGGGATGTAGCTCAGTGGTAAAGTGCCCTTGGGTAGAAAAATATACATATTCTGTTAGGTACTTTTAGAAATATAACTTCACTATCAACACTACTATCACATTATCCCCATCACATAAAAGTAATTTTTATAATCTGGACAATTTTACATTTTAAAGAGATTACAATTATTTTTCTGACATTTGAAACAGGAAAACCTCTTAAAATTTATAGAAATTTTATCTAACAACTCTTACCTATTTTCTTTTTATATCTTTATCTTTTCAATTTTGACCATTTTCCCCTCTGCGTTTCTGTTCGAATTTCTCTTAGTTTTATTGTTGTCATCCCATATTTTTCTTTTTTTTCTGATGTGAAAATTTTCTTTTCTAGCTCTTCCATGTGATATTTTGCTTCCTTCCAATGTTTTATTGTTTCTACTTTTTTCCAACTTACTTTCCATCTTGTGATGCAATCTCTCCATCTTTATCTTTTTGTTGTTATTTTTATTGTTACTAAGTTCTGAATGGAAATGAAGGAAGTGAATCACCACCATCTTGCTGACTGTATCTCTAGCTATTTTCGTTTTGTTGTTAATTAGAATACAGTGAACCAATCAGAGGGATGAGGTGGGATATGTGGGATATATGGGCAGTCTTTTCAATCTTGAAAAATAGTTTGATACAACCAAATCCATTAAAACAATCCCCCACCAATTTTTAAATAAAACAACTATTTTCATGGAGCCAAATGACATAAATCTATTAACTATATAGACAGACAGAAAGTAAATTTAGAAATATGAAGCATTTTATTGTCATCTTGATGATATTTTATAATGATTTACCCACTTGTAATTTTTAAAAATATCAAATTCTGCCTATTTTTTACCATCTTAACATGATTTACATTTTCTATACTATTTATTTGTTTAACTTTTAAAATGCCAAATGATAATACACTTTAAAAAGTAATTTAATTGGTAGGATTTAGTAGGTCTTAATTGCCACAGTACCACTAAGTCATTGTGTTTTGGAAGGATCATATCACTAAATTTGATTATTGTTGTTGTTGAGGTTGAATGTTTAGCAATTTCTTGAATTGTTTAATCCAGTTGTCTTACAAAGGGCCTGGTATTTTGAATATTTGGACACTGGTTTGGTGTGTTGCTTTGGTGATTACACTGTGGCTAATTGGTCTATATAACCTTATATATCTGGTCATATACTTGGATGCTGTAGCTAAAATTAGGTTGGGAGGTGAGATTTTTTTGGTATTAAATTATTACAAGTCCTTACCCTTTATATTACCATTTTTGTCCCAAATACTTCAGAACTCCCCTTTCCAGACCTCTAGACCTGTGACGGTCGCTTCAAGTCAATCAGAGGGAAAAATGGTATGAGTGATATAAATTATCTTTTCTTATGATAAGATAATGCTTGGCCTGTTATATCATGCTACCATTCTCCTGGGCTACACTGGACAATCCCCAGCTTGATGTACATCTACTTGTTATCGTATATATGATCAGGAATTGATATGTGCTCCTGCTTCTGATGCTCTTAGGTCTTCATTAGCTGTCTAACCTTTGAGATTAGTGCCTCAATTTGGAGTAATGAGATGGCTTTCTGATTTATGTGCCTTTGTGGCATACGTTCAAATTTAAGTGTCAGGTTTCATTGATAAACTGGTTTGCCTCAACTTAGAAAAAAGAAATTACATAATCAGTGTAGCTATGTGGTAAGTATAGTTGTCTGGAAGATCTCCTGCAATTGACAGCATTTTTTCTGCTGTCTAGTGATCACATAACTATTATCACAGAAGTTTAGAAGTACCCTGGGGATGTATAATAACTACAAATATTCTAATGAATATGGTAATGATCATGCCAGTGAAGTCTGCTTTAGTGGTTATGTGCAATGCATACCTGGATTTGTAACACTTAATACCTCCTTTGGCCATTACAGTATTAACCAAATGCTATTAATTGCACTTAGAATCAGAACTGGGATCATGCATGGGCTCCTGAGTTCCAATTTTTGGCTTAAGGCTTTAGCATCAAACTGCGTGATGAATGCATGTAAAAGTGTTGTTTCACTGTGCTTGGAGTAACCCCAAATGCCAGGAATCAAGGACATATATCCCAAATCAAACCAGTTGGGTCAAAGCATGTTTCTGTAGCATTTGAATATATTTAGACAACGCTGTACCTTATATCAGACCTTATTTTCTGGGAAGTGGGATTTGGAACTGTAGTATTAAAATGTAAATTATTCACATATGGTCTGAAAAGAAATTGTTTCCCTTTCCCCAGTCTTAAGTGTATAAGAATCTTAAACATAGAGTCTGGCTGTGTGGGAACATCCTTTACCTAGTTTTCTGTAAGCCAGCCATGACTTTAGCAATAAAATATAGAAGAATTACATCAATGAGAACAAAAATTCATCATTGCCTTATATCCATTCTCTGAATTTTAGCCAGAGAGACACTTTCAATGTGAAATTTAAATTGGTTAACCAGAATTGGGAATTGAAATTTGTAAGTTAATCACATGGCCATTGGGCTACCTGTGATCACCAAGTTATAAAAACAACTTACAAATTATTGTCAAAGCTTTTCATGATGCCATTCTTCTTCCCTCCAAATTCATGTTTCTGCTTTTAGTAATTTCTCCAATCATTTAATGGTAATTCTTATTATTGCCTATTTATGAAGTAAGCACCTGGCCAAAAGTGGAATTATAATTCCAAACTTTGGAACATTGTCGTTTTCTCTGTTCTCTTAAATCTGTTGTCCTGTAGCCTGTCCTGTCCCTGATTTAGTTAATACCTCCCTATTTTCATAACCGCCCCACTTTAAAAGGGACCCCCCCATTCAGACCCATTGGTTTCATCTCCTCCCACCTTCTAAGTTGTCCCACATTCTGTTTTAACTTTCTTTTCTTTCTTTATTTACGTCCATTACAGCCAGATCTCTATGGCTCACAGATGTGCCCAGGGAAGCTCCCAGAGGTGCGTCACAGGCCCAAAAGAAGCTTGCATCAAAGTGCTTCTTTGAGATGTCATAGCACTGCAGCAGCAGGTTCATGTGTGTGCAGTAGAGTTGTTGCTTGGCTTATCTCACTTTTTTGTTGTCATTCCCAAACTCTGGAGGCCCACGTCACACATTGTTTTGCCGAGACTTCATAGGACAAAGCCACATAAATTGTGCCTGGATGCACTTCAGGAATAGTGTGTCTGTTTTTCTCTCCAAGTTGCTCTTGGAGTTTGGACAATTATGAAATGGGGACGTAGGCTGAAGATGTAGGAAAGAATGTTGGATGCTTAATGCAAAACTAACTTCTCTGTAATTTTTTGCAATTCTCCTTGGTAAGATTTTCAAATACTCCCTCCTCTCTGCTCTAAATACTTCAGATTATTGTAAATTTTCACAAGGTTTTGGCATGGTTTTCATAGTCCCCAGGTTCTATGTGACCAATAAATGAAGTGGGGAGGAAGGGAGGGAGGGAGGAGAGGAGGAGGCATACCCTGGAGAAAGCTGCAGGGAAAATCCCCAAAGCAGCATTAATGTTTACTATTTAGCATCTCAATGGTCATTGCTCCTCCACAATTCTATTTTGATCTCCTCCCAATTTGACTTTATATTAAAACTGTAGTCCCAAAAAAATTGAATTTTGTAATCACAAAGTGTAAACTGACCAAGGGTGAGGCTTTCCTTTTATTCTAAAGCATATTCTGATTGCAACATGCACAGAAACAGCTTATGTTATTCCAGTCATATAAAACCCATTGATCTGCACTATACTATGTTGTGCACAAATTTAGAGAAGTCTTGCTATGTCTGCCCTGAGTCACCAGAACAAAATAAGCTAAGCTGTAAACATCATTTCATGGATGAGCAGAGTCAATATGGAGGTGATTTTCATGCGCTTTTTTTTTCTATCACAGTCATACTCCCACCCACCCTTTTTAAGTTGGATCCTAGTTTTACCTATGTGTTTTAATTAGAGAAGAGAATGATTGCATTATTAAGTTACTAACGTTAAATCTAGAATGTAACTTCAGTTTCCCAAGTGTAATCCTACAGGTAGCATGGGCTTCTTGGTGAAGAACTTTACTGGAACATGAAATTGCCACTGCCGTATGTTCTCAGCTGCCATTTTTTCCCTTTGGTTGTCCACAGGGAATTCCTGAGCAATGGGCAAGATTACTCCAAACCTCCAACATAACAAAACTGGAACAAAAGAAGAACCCACAAGCCGTTCTTGATGTTCTCAAATTCTATGATTCCAAAGAAACCGTCAACAACCAGAAATACATGAGCTTTACATCAGGAGGTAAAGAGAAATTCTGGTGCATCAAAAGGTGGCAAAAGTCATTCTAGTCTTAGAATCTCATGATTAGAACAGAATGTCTGTAGAACTTTTGAAGTCAGTTCCAGTACCTTCCCTGACTGGATTCACCATAAGTAAACCAAAAAGACAAATTGGAATTTGGGCTTGATGTTAGAAGATTTATTTTAATTGGGTGTTTTTGCAGAACCCAAGTAGGGAAATTGTTGAGTGAAGCAGTAATGGTAAGCTTGAATTAGCAATCACAATTCTTCTTAGGAAGATACTCGGTATCTTATGATCAGGCCTTGTGATGGGTTCATGAAGTAAGAGGTTTTGGATTGAACCATAATCAATGGAAATACATTGTACCCCTTAGACTCAATGATTTATATCATGATGACACAGAGTAAATTTTGTGGTTGTCAGGTTACTTTGATCAGATCCCAATATCAGACTGAAAAAAAGAAACTATGTCTTATTATTTAAAAAGATTGAAATAGCCATACTGCCAAATTGTGCTTTAATTTGCTAGTGTGTAGACCCGGCCTTGGATTGGAAATTTGATGTTCAAATGTGCATTATAAACAATCAAAAGAAACCTAATCCCAAAAAATACTTTCACATTTTGAGAAAAGTGATCTGGATCATCTCTCTAGTATAATTAAATATCCAAAGAATAAAGGGAATGCTATCAATAGTATCCTAGACATAAGGACCTCCTGTGGCTTGTCATTGGATTGAATATAGGGCAGGCTTGAGATCTCTTTGAGAATAGTACAAGGATGTACTTGGAAGTGGAGGATTGTCTGATTTGGCCATGTCAAATATCAAAGCTCAGACTTGAAGGCACATGGCAATTCATACACTAGGTGGGACTTTTTGATATGAGAGGATTATTTAACTACCATCCAATGTTAAAAACCTAAAAACTTTTTTCTAAAAAGAAAACCATTAAGGAAACATTTTTATGATATTTTAGTGTTCCATGTGGAATGAAATGCCTGAGAGAGTCTGTTGATACATCAAACAGTGTTTAATGCTAAGACAATAGGAGTGGGCCTCCAATAGGCTACCAGAACTGAAAATGCATTCAAGAAATCATTTCAGTATAACCATTAATACCCTTCAGTTTCTCAGAGTTTGTTTTTTACTCCAAGTAGTCACTGCTGTTTAGCACCTTATTTCTAGATGCTGAAATATTTTAACTTAAAAATATGAACTCCTGGGCACTATGGCAAAACTCAATAGTATCAGAGTTCCTGCATTATACTTAGCTGAGTGAAACTCAACATATGTTTTCTTTTTAAAAAATATTTATTTTTTAGTTGTAGTTGGACACAATACCTTTATTTTATTCATTTATTTTTATGGGGTGCTGAGGATTGAACCCAGGGCCTTGCATGTGCTAGGCAAGTGCTCTACCTCTGAGCCACAACCTCCGACCCTCAACATATGTTTTCTGAATGCTCTAGTGTTGAAACTGACTGACTGGAGAAGAGGATGAGAAGATGGGAATTTTTAAGGGAGGACAGAAGGAAGAGATGATGAGGAAGAGAGGAAAGAAAATAAATCATGGATATTGATGTATAGAATCATAACAGTTAGGAATAGGTAATCTTGATATTCCCCCTTATAGATGAGGTACACTGAAGACCTGGGGGCTTTTACTATAGGTTGTAAAATGACTTGGTGAGAACATGCTGACGTTGTAATGGTGTGAGCTATTTTTTAAAAAAGGTATCATTTGTCATAATATCTATTTAATACTAAATTGAAGAATTACCTTCTGCTCAAAGATATTTTTTTCTATTTTTCTAAATGAGATCATCTTCATGAAATAAAGGTAACCTTTTGGTTCTCACTTTTCAGATAAAAGTGCACATGGATACATAGCAGCACATCCTTCGGTAAGTGAAAAATTAAAGACTCTTTGTTATAATCAGGGTTCCCTAAGATCCAATAGAATATAATTGCATAATCCAGTTTTTAGATATAAAATTTTCACAAAACAGTTTTTAAGGGTATAACTTACATTTATAAAATTTCCCTAATTTTAAGGATACAACGAGTTTTAGTAAATTTATACACCTGTACTCCCATCACCACAATCAAGTCTTAGAATGCCTCCAGGACCCCAGTAAAATCTCTCATGACTGATCACAATTAATCCTCAGCCACTAGTTTGTGTATCACTAGATTGTTCCTTTTATTGCTGAGTAGTAGTATTCCATGGTATAATTATGGCATTATTTGTTTATTCACTCACCCACTGAAGACTTTCCAGATTATTTCCAGTTTGAGGCTATTACAAATAAAGATACTGTGAAAATTAATGTTCATTTTTCTTTACATGGACAAATGTTTTTCTTTCTCTATGTATAGAATCTTAAAAATAAAAACCATATTAATAACAACTTCTTTTTATTGAACACTTAAAATGTACAATGTGGATTAATATTTTATACTTGCTTCATCTTTCCTACAACTCAACTAAGATTTACTTTATAGATGAGGGAACTGAGGATAGAAATAACTTGTCTAAGGTCACAACACAACATTTTAGTGTAATTTATTTCAGCAGACTGAGGCACATTGCAGGAGGTGACTTTGCCCAAAGTCATGTAGGTGTATTGGAGAACTAACTGGAATAAATGTAACCTAGTTCTTGGAAGTGCTAAAGTATCTGAAATAATATTCACATGCATTAAAGAGGAAATTATCTTAGGCAAAGTTTCCTTTTCTATGAATTTTCATTCTAATACACTGATTGAAAGTATTTCCTGACACACATGCTTCTTCAGGGGTAAAATAATTGACATTAGCAAAAGTCCCCTATTTTTATCCAAAGAGTCATGGATTGCCAGGCTAATTTTTCCCTTTTTGTAGAAGAAAACTGTTGGCCTGCTTGAAATCACCCTGGGTGGATGTGACAATAGTAGATCATAAGTGGTGAAGAATAATGGCTTAGTTAGCCTTTAAAAGTTTTAGTTAACATTTTTATCACTGTGACTAAAAGACCTGACAGAAAAAATTAGAGGGAACAGTTCCTTTTGGCTCACTGTTTTAGAGGTTTAGTTCATGGTTTGCTCACTTCCTAGCTCTGGACCCAAGCTGAGACAGAACATCATGGCAGAAGGCCATGGTGGAGGAAAGCAGCTTAGAATGGCAACCAGAAAGCAGAGAGAAAACTCAAGCTCCCCAATGACAAATTATGAATGCCAAAGGCACAGCTCCACTGACCTAGTTCCTCCAGCTATACTCTACCTGACTACACTTAATCCATATCAGTGGATTTACCACTAATTAGGTTACACCTCTCATAATCTTATCATGTCACCTGAGAATTATTACACCATCTCACACATAAGTTTTTGGAGGATACTTCATCTCCAGAGCACAACAAATAGTATGGCAGTTTCTCAAAAATTAAAAAAAGAATTACCGTATGATCGAAAAACCAACAGATTGTTGTTCTCCCTATCCAACTAGCTATTTCCCTCTCCTCTTTCTTCTTTACCATGAGAGCTTAGGAAAGTAAGAAAGAATGTTAACATCCCCTATCAACACAGACTTTACCTCCTTTAATTTAATTAGTATCATACTTGTGCAATCCTGGCCAAGAACTAGATATTGGTTCTTTTAATTTTTTAAAATTACAGATGGACATAATACCTTTATTTTTATATATTTTTATGTGTTGCTGACAATGAAACCTAGTGCCTCACATGTGCTTGGCAAGCACTATACCACTGAGCTATAATCCCAGCCCTAAGTATTGTTTTTAGGTCAGTTATTTTAAACATCAACCTACTAGGATAATCTGTGTACTGGTTTTTATTTTCCCCTGAAATATATACTGTTTCTTTTGAGATCGCTTCTGTTGGTTTTGCATATAGAATTAAGTCTATATCATGGACAAATATTCCATTAAATCAGAAAAAAAAATGTATTTGTTTTTTGGATATAAAGCAGCTAGATGTTTTCTTATTTAGCATAAGTTTAGAAGTATGGAGTTCAGTGTGGTACAGTAAATAAGTGTGAACATAAAGAAGCATAATGTAATATGGATAGCATTAAGTATTCTTATTAAATATATAGTATCAAATGTGTCTATTAATATGCCATGGAATATATCAATTTGCTATGAAAATTCAGATAAAAGAGATTATTTTAAGATGGGGATGGAAAGGAAGTAGGCACTTGTCTCTGAGAGGTTAAACTCATTGCTTAGTACCTAATAAGCACTTGCAATATAGTTTTTGAATGCTGAATTAGAAAATGAATCATATAAAAGTTGGGATTGGAGCTAGACCTTATTTTAGACAGGATGAGATTTGGATTTGTGAAAATGGGGAAGGGCATTCTAAGCAAAATGAAAAGTTTGAGGAAAATGCACGATGGTGAGGAGAGCACCAGAACAAAAGTCATAGGTTTGAATAAAGTCTGGATGCAAGAAAACGTAACACAGAAGTGAAACTGTGAAACAAAACATGGGGCTAAAATCAGAGACCCTTAAATGGTATTTTTAGGAATCTGACTTTTCCAGTTTGCAGTAGGAAGCCCTTGAAGTGTTTTGAAGCCAGACAGTGAAGTGATCAAAGGTTATGCTTTGGGAAGTGTAATCTAACAGCGAATGTCCAGAATGAATTGAGAACAGAAGGTGAGACCAAATGAAGAGAGACTAGTGAGGAAAATACTGTATACAACTGAACTAGCACCCTGATATGAGACAGTGACAATAGGACTGAAAATTAGATTCAAATTCTAGAGATGTTTTGATTACTGATTGTATGTTAGAGGAAAGGATGAGATCAAATATGGCTGTACGCTTAAAATGATATGTGAGTGTGGCTTGGGAGGCTAAGGCAGGAAGATCATGAGTTCAAACCCAGCCTCAGCAACTTATTTTTACCTTTTTTTTTTTTTTTTTTTTTTTGCGCTACCGGGTATTAAACTCAGGGGCAATTGGCCACTGAACCACATCCACAGCCCTATTTTGTATTTTATTTAAAGACAGGGTCTCACTGAGTTGCTTAGCATCTCACTTTTGCTGAGGCTGGCTTTGAACTCGTGATCCTCCTGCCTCAGCCTCCTGAGCTCCTGGGCGTACCGGCATCTGCTGCCATATCCTGCTCAGCCTCAGCAACTTAGTGAGGCCCTAAGCAACTTAGTGAGACTCTGTCTGTAAATAAAATATAAAAAGGGCTGGGGATATGGCTCAGTGGCTGACTGCCCCCAGTTCAATCCATGATACCAAAAAAAAAAATAAAATAAAAAAGATATGTGAGTGAATTAAAATGTAAGCATATTATTTTTCAGGAGATTCAGATTTCTATTGGAAGATATTGAGATTATCGTACAGGATCTAATTTAATGATTCTGACTACTCGGTATAGGCACAGCCTGAACTGATCACAAGTTTTGGCATCCTTTAATATTCTGGATAAAAATTAAAATAGAAGCAATGTTGTATTTTCTAAATATTTTAAATAGATGCCTGTTTTACTTCTCACTTATTATATAGCTTCTTTAATATTAGTGTATTAAATTCTAAATTCTATTCAGTGACCTACTCTTCAATTTGAAGCCAATTTTAAATTTTATATTTTGATTGTGCTACTAAAAATGAATTGATTATATTTAGGATTCTGAGCTATTATTGCAATTTAAGCTAAAAACAATTAATATGAATATGCCATCATTTGCTAAAGAAACTGAATGTGTAGTTGACAGATTGCTCTTTTTTGATTTGCAGTACTGGTTTGTTTATATACTAGTTATTTATTTTTTTTTCCTTCAGTGTGCATCAGAATTGCGGGGGACGTCTGTTAAGGTGCAGATTCCAGGAGTCTATTCTGAAAATAGATCTGCATTGAAATTATGAATTCTGAATTTTAAACAAATACCAACAAGGACCCCCAAACTATATTTTCTATCATCTAAGTATCCAAAATCCTTCTTCCAATTCCTTTGGCCTTTAGAAATTAATATCAAAGAAAAGATAGTTTCCTAAAACAGTTCCTCTAGCTGGTGCATTCTCTGGATCAGGGTTCATAACTTGGAGCTCAGGGATGGTTTCACAAGCTCTATGAACCATTGAAAGTATACATTTAAAAAAGTCTCTACCTGCATTTTTCTGGAGATATGAGCCAAATTTTTCAGAATGTTAAGAGTCCTTGTCCCAACAAAGGTCAATAAGTGCCTCCCATGTCCCAATGTGTGCATCATGATATTTTTGACCCTCTTTAATTTTGATAAGATAAAAATATGTCATACATTTTATCTACATTTTTACAATTTTAAATTTTAGACATAGTAATTCTCTGCCTGGAAGAATATGGAAACACTACGAAAACGAGTACTACAGGCCTGGGGATATAGATCAGTTCGTAGAGTACTTGCCTCACATGCACAAGGCCCCACATACAAAAAAAAAAAAGACTACTACAAAAACTTGTTAAACAAATAAGTTTGCTAAACTTACAGCAGCAAAAATGACCACCACTTATAGAATCTTAGCAGTGTCTAGACAGGGGATATCAGGGAAGCAAGTAAAGTTTAGGGTTCTTGTCCCCCACAGTAACCAAACTTGAAATACGAAAGGTAGCTACTTGGCCATTATGCACTAATTGGTTTTTGCAACAGTCTAAGAATTGGACCAAGAAGACTAGACCTTGGGTTATAATATTTGCCAGCAGGGTCATTCTTTGATCCTAGTAAGAATTTTTATAAGTGTACTTTTGGAGGCCATATTAAGGAACTCCTATACTCCACTTTATATTTTTGCTGTAAATTTTTGAAATGGTTTTTTAAAATATTGATTTTTTAAATGATTTGGTTATAAGTAACATTTAATGTATGATTATGTATAATTTCTTGGCACATCTTTGTGACTACTTAAGAATTGTTGCTAAATAAGAAAATCTAACCTACAATTTGTTTTCAATGTAATGAAATTTCTGTAAATGCTAAATTTAAGTAATTGGTGATGTTGATGTATTATTCTACTCAATAGACATTTGATTATAGATTGATTAATTTACTTGATAGTTTTATAGTGTCCTTTTAGAACTGATGATTTTTTTCTAATCTGAAACGTCTTCATAGGCCAGCATAAAGCTTATTATACCCAAGTCTGGTTTATACTGCCTAACTGATAAAATAGCAGCATTTTTCACATTATAAAAAAATGTACTTCATTTATATGAACATTCTGTCATTAGGTACATTCTTTTTTAAAAAAATATTTTTTAGTTGCCAGTGGATTTTTTACTTTATTTGTTTATCTATTTGTGGTGCCAAGGATCAAACCCAGGTCCTCACACATACCAGGCAAACATTCTACTACTGAGCCACAACCCCAGCCCCTCATTAGGTACATTCTTGATTCCAATAATCATAAGACAGAGCACCTTTCCAGAAAGATAAAATATCAAAACAAATACAATAACCCAAAGGTAATTTCTTCCTGCACCTAACTGAATTGCCCTGAACAGATAGTGTTTCATAAGAAGAAAGTGATTTTTTTTAAAGCTGGTATCTTGGTGTTGTTAACATTTGTTTCTATTGCTGTAGCCATAATATGATACCATAGCCCAGTTATTATGATTAAGTTAATAATAAATACAGGTGGATAAATAAGAAAACCAATGTCTAATACACATGAACTTCAATCTATAAACCACTTAACATCTATATCAGGGAAATATTCTTTCATGTGTTTATCAATTCTAGGGTGCCTTATTTCTCAAAATATAAAAATATTGCTAGCTCCTATCAGATATGTGTTATACCTTATGACTCTACTGTAGGTATTTACATTGCTGTAGAAAATCCATATTGAATTTTTAATCACAGACTGAGGTCCTTTGACCTAATAGTCTTTATAGTATACCTATAACTGCCCCAGGATCTTTGAATTCAAGGAATAAAAATTCATTGTAGGATGACTGTGGGCAATATACCCAGTAATATAAACAATAAACTAGTAAATTCATAAAAACAAAAACAAAAAATACAAAGCAGCTATAATAGAGCTGTTCAGCAGAAATACAAACCATAAATTTAAATTCACCTTAAATTTTCAATCACTTCAGAAAAGTAAAAAGAAATAGTTGAACTAATTTTAATAATATATTTAATTTTATCCAGTATATTAAATTAATATTTTAATACATCAATATATACGTATCGATGAAACATTTTTTAAAATTATCTCATGTGACTGGGAATGGTGGTTTCACTTGTAATCTCAATGTCTTGGGACGCTGAGGCAGGAGTATCATGAGTTCAAAGCCAGCCTCAGCAACTGCGAGGTACTAAGCAGCTCAGTGAGACCCTGTCTCTAAATAAAATACAAAATAGGGATGGGGTGTATCTCAGTGGTTGAGTGCCCCTGAGTTCAATCCCCAGTACCAAAAAAAATTTATTTCACATTAAGTATATAACACCTGGAATGTACTTTACACTTAGAACACAGTTTAGTCTACCTGCATTTTAATGTTCAATAACCATATGTGGCTGGTAGTTCCTATATTGGACAATGCATCAGAATAACATGTAAAGCTTGTTATAACACATATTGTTGGGCCACACTTGCAGAGTTTCTGATTCCGAAGTGCAAAGAGCCTGATAATTTGCATTTCTAACAAGTTGCTTGATGATGCTGACTTGGGAACCACACTTTGAGAACCATAACCTTAGTTTTTTTTAAAATAGACTTTGCAACCATTCTGCCCCTGTGTTAACATGAATGATCCTAGGTATTGTGGTGGTGGTTGTTATTGTTGGTGATATCATTATAATTTATTAGTTATTGTAAATCAACATTAACCTATTGGTTAATATCAAACAATTATTTATGTAGATAGGTGATTAGATCTTCATTTTTATTACTGTCTGAGTGCTTCTTTTCAGGAGGCTGAACAAGGAAGAAACATTTACTGGCTTCCTTATTCTTAGTGAGTATTTGCAGAGCTGTATTAATACAATATCCATATGCATGCTCTGCCCTTCTCAAATTGACAAACCATCAGTCAACAAATTGACAATGTATCCAGTACATATTTGAGGATTTAATGGCAGTTTGATTTTTAAGTACTCATTAGATTCAAAAACATTTAACTTTAAAATGCTAAAGTAATAAATAGTTCACTGTTTTTGAGCTCAGTGGAAAACAAAAAATGGTTCATTCCATTGTGAAACAAATTGATCTCTGAATGTGAGCACATCTTGCACACCAGATTATAGATGGTTCTTCTCATTTGTAAAATACATAGCTCCTTCCTATCCCTACATGCTTAAATATTCATTTCTGTTTTCTCATTTCTGATGAAAAACAATGAAAATTAATACCTGATACTTAAATTTTTTTCTCTAAGAGTACAAAAACAGCATCTGAGCCTCCTTTAGCTCCTCCTGTATCTGAAGAAGAAGATGAAGAAGAGGAAGAAGAAGAAGATGACAATGAGCCCCCACCAGTTATTGCACCAAGACCAGAGCATACAAAATCAGTAAGTTACAAGTGATTATTTCCACATGGTTCAGAAGATGAGCTGTGGAACATAGACTTAGAATACAATTAATCAACCAGTAACCTAAGTAGCATATCTTATATTCACAGAACTTGAGTATCAGATATGATGCTGTGTTTTTTTAAAAAAATATATTTTTTAGATGTAGTTGGACACAATACCTTTATTTTATTTATTTATTTTCACATGGTGCTGAGGATTGAAACCAGGGCTTCGTGCTTGCTAGGCAAGTGCTCCACCACTGAGCCCCAGCCCCAGCCCTGATGGTATTTTTGATTAGTTTTTTTAGTTATACATAACATTACAACTCATTTTTAATTATAAAATCATGGAACATAATTTGTTCTAATTCAGTTTACTTACAGTTTTTTTAAAATTAGTGCCTTGTGGATATAAATAAAGGTGAGATTCACTGTGGTATATTCACATGATTACATAGGAAATTTCGATCAGATTCATTCCACTGTCTTTCCTTATCTTGTCTCTTCTCCCTCCCTTGATCTTACTTCTATTTTGATAGAATTCCCTTTTCCCTACCACTTTTCTGTTTTTTCCTTATTTTGGTCTAGCTTCTGCATATCAGAGAAAGCTTTTGACCTTTCACTTTCTGTGTCTGGATTATTTCACTTAGTATGTTGATCTCCAGTTATACCCTTTGGCAGCAAATGCCATAATTTCATTCTTCTTTATGGCTGAGTAATACTCCATTGTGTATATATACCACATTTTATTTTTTCATTTGTTTGTTAAAGGGCACTTTGGTTGGTTCCATAGCTTGGCTGTTGTGAATTGTGCTGTTATAAACATTGATGTGGCTGTGTCGCTGTAATAGGATGATTTTTGATCTTTTGGACAAAGAATGAACTAGGAGTGGAATAGCTGGGTCATATGGTAGTTCACTACCTAGTTTTTTGAGGAATCTCCATATTGATTTATTGAGTATTTGCACTAATTTACAGGCCCACCGACAGTGTATGAGTGTACCCTTTTCCCCACCTCTTCACCAATGTTTATTATTATTTATATTCTGATGGTAGTGAAATGAAATCTCAGTGTAGTTTTGCTTTACATTTCCGTGATTGCTAGAGATGTTGAATTTTTTTCATATATTTATTGGCCATTCGTGTTTCTTCTTTACAAAAGTGTTTAATTATTTTGTGTGTATGGATTTTTTTCTTTTTTCTGAGTTCTTTTTATATTGCAGATATTAATGCTCTATCTGAGGAGCAGGTGGCAAAGATCTCCCATTCTGTAGGCTCTCTCTTCATGCTCCTAATCATTATCTTTGCTGTGCAGAAGCTTTTTAATTTGATGCCATCTCACTTACTGAACTTTTATTTTATTTCTTGCACTTTCTTTTTTTTTTTAAGAGAGAGTGAGAGAGAGAGGGGGACAGAGAGAGAGAGAGAGAATTTTAATATTTATTTTTTTTCTTAGTTCTCGGTGGACACAACATCTTTGTTTGTATGTGGTGCTGAGGATTGAACCCCGGGCCGCACGCACACCAGGCGAGCGCGCTACCGCTTGAGCCACATCCCCAGCCCCTCTTGCACTTTCTAAGTCTTATTAAGGAAACTAAAAACTCTTTAAACGATTATCTTTAAATGAGATGACAGTGTCTCAATATCATAGTTATTCCATGACGTACGTTTTAATTATAGAACTTTGTATTATTTTGTTTTATAGATCTATACTCGTTCTGTGGTTGAATCTATTGCTTCACCAGCAGCACCAAATAAAGAAGTCACACCACCTTCTGCGGAGAATGCCAACTCTAGTACTTTGTACAGGAATACAGATCGGCAAAGGAAAAAATCAAAGATGACAGATGAGGAGATCCTAGAGAAGCTAAGTGAGTTTGTTTATTTTTTTCCCATCATTACTTTCTTCAAGAGAAACTTTCTACTAATCTATTTAGAAGGAGGATTGATCTTTTGGAAGTTTGTATCTGCTTGTATGAACTCCAGGATACCCAGAGTCATGAGATGAAAGGTTTGTGACTCACTCTCCTAACTTAACAGTAACAAAATATTTTTACTTGAAAAACATGTCAATTAGGGTAACAGCATGACAAAACAAATCACATAAGAGATTTTGTCTTACGATTACCCCACCAATCCAGGCACAGTTGTGCACACCTGTAATCCCAGTGACTCAGATGGCTGAAGTAGGAGGATAACAAGTTTGAGGCCAGCCTAGGCATCTTAGCAGGATATTGTCTCAAAATCAAAAAGGGCTAGGGAGGGCTGGGGTTGTGGCTCAGTGATAGAGCACTTGCTTAGCATGTGTAAGGCACTGGGTTCGATCCTCAGCACCACATGAAAACAAATAAATAAAGTAAAGCTCTATCAACAACTTAAAAAAACTATAAAAAAGGACTAGGGATATACCTCAGTGGTAGAATATCTCTGTATTTAATCCCTAGTCTCCCCCCATACAAAAAGAAATTAAACCATCAAAAGGGATATTATAGTCTTATGATTTCTCCAAGCATTCCAACTGATCAATCACAATAGAAAAATCAACCTCAGAGCCCATCATAGTTAATTGCAACTTACCACAAATAAAGCAGCCTTTTCCCTTAATTTAGCGTTATTTCTATGTGGTATTGGGGGCAGAGCAAGCAAATGCTTATAGTCTCCTTCCACAATGGCATTACTGTGTACATGCTTGTGCACATACATTTTTTTAAAAAATATACTTTAGTATTAGTATTATTTTTAGTTGTTGATGGACCTTTATTTCATTTATTTATTTTTATTTGGTTTTGAGAATCAAACCCAGCGCCTCATACATGCTAAGCAAGTGCTCTAACACTGAGCTACAACCCAGCCCATGCATATACACGTTTTACCCCAGTTTTTCAAAACACTCACATTCTACTCAGTTCTGGGTCAAGAAGATAAAAATTTAGGTGTTCTTCTTAAAAGAGTCAAAGGTCTATGCATCATACTTATTAAACTCATACAAAATCAGTGAGACTCTGTCTGTAAATAAAATATAAGATAGGCTGGGGATGTGGCTCAGTGGTCGAGTGCCCCTGAGTTCAATCCCTGGTACCAAACAAACAAACAAACAAAAAAGTTGCAGGACACAATGGAAAGATAATGTCCTATCACCAAGAAACTTACATTATTTTTGAAAGACAATATTTAGTAGCATGGTACAATAAAGAATAAGATGTAATCTCTTTTCAGGCAATTGTTTTAATTTATAAAGGAAGAGAACAATTCCAGCTGTAGGCCACAAGGAGGCGCTGAGGAGGTGGTGGTCAGGACCATTTTACTCTATTGGGGACATTTTATTAAGTTTGGATACAGTGTTGTCATAATTCAGAGAGTGCTGCTGGCATCTAGTGGATAGAGGCAAGCAGTGTTTCTAAACATCTTACAATGCACAGGATACTTCCCCTCCGTTCCCCTTCACAACAAAGTATTATTCATCTCCAAATGTCATCAGTTCTAAAGTTGAGACATTTTGAACTAGAGGTATTTTGGAAAGGCAAAGATTGGCTTTGTAGTTGTTAATGAGCACTGACAATTGGAATTGTGGGACTTTAGCAAACTGACTTTACTCTATGTGATTAAATATTCTTCTAGCACCAGTACCAACCATTTATTATTACAACCATAATCATTCTCATTTACTGGGCACTTTCTGTACTGCCCACTTTACATACATTATCAGGGTTAATTTTCTCCATAATCTCTTGAGGTAGATTTGAATGTTCTTGTTTTATAGATCACTGAAAGTAAGCTTGAAAAGGCTTAAGTGACAAAGTCACCAAATTACAGTAATGAAGGACAGAACTAGATTTTTACCTCTTATCTGTATGCCTTCAAAGCTTACACTCTTCCCATTACCCACTTTGCTTTGCATATCCCAACTCTTTGTGTAAAATGGAAGGAAGAAATGAAAGAATTCCTGGATAATTTAAGTTCAATTACTTAGTCTATTTCCTTAATTTCTTTCTTTGTTCTATACACATAGATGTGACCTGTGAGATTATATCAGATCTTAAACATCTTTCAGCCTTGCTTTCCTTAAACAGACTGGTATTTAGTATCTGTTTCAAATCTCATTAGATGGATTGTAATGAAAATGCATTTGTACCTTTTAATTTTTAAAAATTTTTTTTTAGTTATAGGTAACTCAATACTTTTATTTCACTTATGTATTTTTATGTGGTGCTGATGATCGAACCCAGTGCCTCACATGTGCTGGGTGAGCACTCTACCACTGAGCTACAACCCCAGCCCCATTTGAATGTTTTGGGGTTTTTTGTTTGTTTGTTTTTTAAATATTTATTTTTTAGTTATACCTGGACACAATTCCTTTATATTTTTATTTATTTTTATGTGGATCGAACCCAGTGCTGCCTCACATGTGCTGGGTGAGCACTCTACCACTAAACTACAACCCCAGCCCTATTTGAATGTTTTGGTTTTTTTGTTGTTGTTGTTTTGTTGTTGTTGTTGTTGTGTTTTTAAAATATTTATGTTTTAGTTATAGCTGGACACAATTCCTTTATATTTTTATTTATTTTTATGTGGTACTGAGGATCAAACCCCAGTGCCTCACACGTGTTAGGCGAGCGCTCTACCACTGAGCCACAATCCCAGCCCCCATTTGAATGTTTTTTTTTTTTTAAGTTAGCTGACAAACATTATTTTACTGGGCCAAACTCTTGCTTTTCTTACAAACTATAAATGCTGGAAATGTGGCCTGTATGATTTCTTGTTTCTTCACTTCTGCACTAAGCAACAACATGAAGAGGGAAAAGCTGCCTTTGGTACCATTTTTATTAAGAATTGAGTGTTTTTTCCTGTAATGGACTTTATTCTTGGGCTCAAAATCTTTTTTCCTATAGCCAGTAGGTCACCTGTGACTGTATATACTATACGTATGCATCTTGACAGGGAGAACTGGTAGAGAAATGGAGGAGTGATTCTTAATTAGTAGATGCAGTCACAGTCTCGGCCTTGCTTTGCTATCACCCTTCCTGTGCCCTTTGTCACTAACACACTCACGTTTGGTAACCTTAGACAAGTCATTTTGCCCCAGTGAGCTTCATTTTTTTATCTGCCAAATGAAGTTAAGAATCATAACTAGATTTAAGAAGTCTCTCTATGAGGTGGATTTTAGGGAGTTCAACCTCTGGTTGTGGACAGGCATTGAAGTGAGAAACACCCTGATTCAAATTGCAGACCCATGGGGCTGGGTTTATGGCTCAGCGGTACAGCGCTTGCCTAGCATGTACAAGGCCCTGGATTCTATCCTCAGCACCACATAAAAATGAATAAAACAAAGGTATTGTGTGCAACTACAACTAAAAATAAATTTTAAAAAAGTTGTAGACCCTCTGTTACTACCTGTGTCACTTTGATCCAGTTATTTAACTTTTGTGGACCTTTCTTTTCCTCATCACTTGGGATAGTAGCAGTAAAAAGTATTAGCCTTATACCACTGTAATAATCGAATGAGAATAATTCATGAAATAACCTCAGCAAATGTATGTGGCACATAGTAGTTATTCAAAAACTGGTAGGTACTATTTTTTCTTACATGTATATGAAGCCTTAATAAGATAATACAATGAAACACACAATTTTTTTTAGTGTATGTGCTAGGGATGTAACCCAGGGCCTTGCTCTTGCTAAGCAAGTGCTTTATCACTGAGCTTAAGCCCTGGCAGCTGGGGTCGAATCATTGACACAGACTAGCTGTGTGACACTGGCAAAAGCACTTAACCTCTCTGAACTTCAGTTTCTTCATCTGAAAAACTGGAGATGATATTAAGAATGTAATGGGTGAAGACTAAATGAGTTAAAATATGTAAGACATCTAAAAAATAAACAATAGCATAAAAATGACTACTATGCTATTTTCACAAAGTGAGAGTCACCATATTTTTCAGTACTTGAAGTAGGACAGAATTAAAGTAAAAATAATTTCAAATGTATTGTCTCTATACAAGTGATTGAGGACCTTGGAATTGGGGGTATCATTAGAGTTTGGGGAAGGAGTAGAAGAGCCTATGCTGAGAGACAAAGGAGCGGGTAAAGGGAGACAGAGAAGGAAAAGGATGGCCTACAACCCACTCCAGGGTGGACTCACATGTGCTGGGTGAGCACTCTACCACTAAAGGAGGAAAAGGAAGCCTCTATTTAATCATCCTCACCTTTAGCCTCAGGGAGCTGATTGCTAGGAGGCAGGCAGTCCAAACCACAGAGCCATCTTCCAACGACGATACTGATTGTGGGGGCCAAACCAAGGGATCATTAAGTCCTGAAATGAACAGATCATCTTTCAGTTTTACACAGACAGATCGCCTGGGTCTGGCTTGTTCATTGTGGTCTGTCTGGATCTGTTGGAAAATAAAGAAAGTCCTACATTTTAGTTAAAAATTCCAAAAAGCCACATTCAGCAAAACATGCAATGCTGGAAATATGTCTTTATCCTCATTCCTCCAGGGTCCTACAATCACCTATTCCTCTTTTCTTTCCCCTACCCCAGTATTTCCCACTCAAAACTCACTTTCCTAAGCCATCCTCAGATAGAACTGATAGTAATTTAGGAAACTAATTTGCTTTTTCTCAGGAGTCAAAACCTTCATTATGTCAAAGAGAATATGTTTTAATGGTAGGAGTTCAGATTAGCTTAATATGTTAGAGAATGCATTGATGGGTTTTCTGCCAGTGAAACCACAATGTGAGAGCTCTTTTCCAAATACTAGCATTTGGTGATTTTGTAAAACCTTGTACTTGAAAGTGAATGGTTTGGTTTCTGTTTAAGGAATTTCTTTGGTAAGAAATTATTCTGATATTGCTATTATTTTTTTTCTCTGAATTT